AGATGTAGAATGCTGCAAAAAAGTCATGCAAATGTACTGGAACGGAGGAAGTATGTTGGTATGTCAACCAAATTAATAGTTATTATAACAAATTTCAAAATTGATGGCATAAAATTAGAGAAATACCATTCATAGCCAACGTCAGGTACTTTATTTGATTTGTCATGTGTGAACAGACTACCCTCCAATTATTGTAGTTTCATTTATCAAAATATACAAGGCCCCTTCATCATGTTCTTCCTCGAAGGACAATTAAGTTTAATCGTTCATGTCCCGGAGGTATGGGCCCTCGTCGCATCGTTCCAGCCTGGGCTATACCCAGACATTGCGCGGCTCTGCCAGCGCATCCATCTCCATGAGTACCACGACTTCCAGCACTGCAAATGGTTTGTAGCTGGTTCAAGGCTCGTGCCACACCCAGCGCTCAGGTACGTCCGGCGGTTTGAGAGCTCTGGGTTTGGGCCGTTCTATTGGGAGCGCGGTGTCCATGGCGTCCTGAGGCTATTGGCATGCAAACCGGGCTTTCTCGCCATTGTGACAGCTCACGCGGCTCCACATCATCAACTGGCGCAAGCAACACTCAATGGAATCGGCGTTGGACACATTCTTCTGCGGTACTCAGGGCGTAGCTCGTAGATCAGCACAAAAACGCATAATTCGGTGGGAAAGAAGTCGACCGCATATAACCAACATGGCAAAAAATCTATCAACGTCCACCAACAAGAATACACGACCTCTTGGGACGGCAACTACTCTTTCAAGAGAGCATGAAGAACAAGTCGCGCATTGGGTGCAAGAAATTCGATCCCAAGGCATTCCTGTTAGCAGGTTTTTGCTGCAATGTAAAACTCTTGAAGTGGCTAAAGTCGTTGGACTGTGCATCACTCAGTTCAAGCCAAGTCACCATTGGGTTACGGGTTTTATCAAACGTTGGTTGAAGAAGCTATGCGAGCAAATACGAGATCTGGGCAAGCGAACCTGGCGCAAGGCGACGCAGCCTTGGCAGAGTTCAGTAAACGAGGTCGACATCGTATTCAAGAGAAGAACATTACTGAGATCTACAATGCTGATCAAACCGGTATCAACTTTGAGAACATACCGAAGCAAACCATTAGACCTCAAACACAAAGACTGTATAATCAACCAGAATCACACCAGTATTCAAATTCACAAAACACACATGGAAGTCACAACATGATTAGTCGGTCATAGGATGATTGTCGTGAAACAAATATTTCAGTCAGCAACTCACCACTCAATCAAGAATTAGTTGATCAAGTGTGCAATCAGTAAATGAGCAAAAAGCAAATGACTTCGGAGATTACTCAGTGATCTCCGAAGTCATTTTCAAAACGTGTTGTACAGTACAATCCAAAGATATGAAGTCAACTGAATTCAAAATCGTGAAACTGAATAACATCGCAAAACATAATGTCATGAGTGGCGCCAAAACGAGACAGTCAAAGGCGCCAAAACGCTCCAAACGACCCCTTTATACAAGTCATATTTTCATCTTTCGCTCGCTCGCTATGACACCCACCCCACCACTTGCTACTGCAAATACACGCTCGCTCCGCTCGCGCAACATTGATCAGGCTGTCGACGTGCTCAACAGCCTCCATGCCAGACGTGAGACCAAGCGCCAACAACACTCGCCAACCCTTCGCAAAAACGACAATGACGACGACACTCCTTCTCCGATCGTTGATGCGTTCGTCCAGACACGTGGCACAGTAGTGATTCACCAAATGACCAACTTCAGCCTCAACGAGTTCAACTTACTG